AACCGGCCAGGGCCAATTTGTACTTGTTTTTTTTTTTTTTTATGAATTTTTATTTATTTTTTTGTTACAGATATTTTACCTTTTTACCCCATTGGCACCCCCCCCCCCCCGTCCCCGGCTTAGTTGTCCATGTCCATTGGTCATGCATACATGCATATAAGTTCTGTGGTTTACCTCTTCCCACCCCCCACCCCCCATCCCCTCTTCTGAGGGATGTCAGTCTGTGCCCTACTTCCATGTGTCTGGGTCTACTGTATTCCTTGTACTTGTTAATCCCTTCATCTTTTTCGCCCATCCCTCCAATCCCCCTCCCATCTGGTAACCAACAAAAAGTTCTCTGTATCTATGAGTCTGTTTTTCTTCTGCTTGTTCATTTTGTTTGTAGATTCTATTGTTGATAGATATGTATTTGTTGCCATTTTATTGTTCATGTTTTTGATCTTCCTTTTCTTTAAGAAGACCTCTCAACATTTCATATAATACTGGTTTAGTGGTGATGAACTCCTTTAGTGTTTTCTTGTCTGGGAAACTCTTTATATGACCATCAATTCTAAATGACAGCTTCGCAGGATAGAGTAATCTTGCTTGTAGGTACTTGTTTTTCATCACTGAATATTTCTTGCCCTTCCCTTCTGGCCTGCAAAGTTTCTTTGGAAAAATCAGCTCACAGTCTTATGAGAGCTCCCTTATAGGTAACTAACTGCTTTTCTCATGATGCTTTAAAATTTTTCTCTTTATCGTTAATGTTTTGCATTTTAATTATGATGGCTTGGTGTGGGCCTCTTTGGGTTCATCTTGTTTGGGACTCTCTGTGCTTCCTGGATTTGTATATCTGTTTCCTTCACAAATTAGGGAAGTTTTCTGTCGTTATTTTTTCAAATAGGTTTTGAATTTCTTGTTCTCTCTTTTTTTCTTCTGGCACCCCCATGATGCAAATATTGGTACACTTGAAGTTGTCCCAGAGGCTTCTTACACTATCCTCAGTTTTTTGAATTATTTTTTTCTTTTTGCTGTTCTTTTTGTTTCCTTATATTCCAAATCGGTAGTTTGATTATGGCTTTACCTACTTTACTGTTTAATTTACCTGTAAATTATTCTTGATTTCAGTTAGTGCATGCTTCATTTCTGACTGGTTCTTTTTATGCTCTTGAGGTCCTTACTAAGTTCCTTGAGCATCCTTATAACCAATGTTTTTTAAAATTTTTTAATCCTCACCTGAGGACATTTTTCCATTTTTTGTTCAGATAGAGTGGGAGGGAGAGAGAGGAAGAGAGAGAGAGAGAGAAAAAAAATCGATGTGAAAGGGACATATCGAGTGGCTGCCACCCGCACGACCAACCAGGGCCAGGGACAAACTGCAACCGAGGTACGAACCCGGGTCTCTCTGGACCACAGGCCAATGCTCTAACCGCTGAACCAAACCGGCCAAGGCTAACCAATGTTTTGAACTCTGCATCTAGTAAATTGCTTGTCTCCATTTTGTTTAGTTCTTTTTCTGTTCTTTCATTTGGGGCATGTTTCTTTGTCTCATTTTGGTTGCCTCCCTGTGTTTGTTTCTATGTATTAGGTAGAGCTGCTACATCTCCTAGGCTTCCTAGGGCATTATAGCAGGTGTCCTGTAGGGTCCAGTGGCACAGCCTCCCTGGTCACCCCAGCTGGGCACTCAAGGTGCACCCCCCATATGAACTGTATACCCTTCTGTTGTAATTGAGTCTTGATTGCTGTTGGCACATCAATGGGAGGGATTTACTCAGGCTGATCAGCTACAAGGACTGGCTGTGCCCACCGACCACTGGCCTCTGACTACCTTGGAGATTCAGATGTGCAGGGCCCACCACATAGAGCAAGACTTACTTCAGCAGGGCTCTGGTACCCACTGAGTTCACCCCTTGAGTGTGCTGCTTGTGGAAGTGGTTGGGTAGTGGTGCTTCACTCTGGTCAGAAGCTGTCCACTGGGTGTGCTGGCTCTGGGGTCTCCTGAGAGGTGCAGGCCAAGGTCAGCCACTGCCTGCATTCTATCTGGGTCCACTAGGCTACCAAGCAATCTGCAGATGGCTGCTTCTTGTGCTGAAGTGCCCAGACAAGACCAACCTGTGAACCAAGGCTTCCTGCTGTTAGTGCTGGGTCTGGGGCCACTTAGTGAGAGGTATGGGTTTTGCTGAGGCCAGATGTTGCTTTTTGAGAGATATTACGAAAATCTGAAGCAGGAACCAAGACAGGCCATTCCTATGGAAATGCCACTGGAAACAGCTTGGGTGGGCCCGAAAGTTGAGTGGGGAAGGGTCTCGGGGAATCACCAAGGTGGGGCAAACAGTGTGAGGCAGGTTGCTGGAGTCTCAGTTATGTTGCTGTCTTCTGGATCTGTGAGAGAAGGAGTCATCAAAGGAACAATGGACCCTGCCAGCACTTCTGTCTGGGAGAAAGCTGTCCCTTCAGCACTCATCCTGATGCCAAACAATTCAGTTTTTCCTCACATGTCTCTGGTGCCTTTCAAGCTGCTGCCCCTGTGCTGGAGCTCAGAGGGTGTAAGCCCAAGTAAGTCTGTGCACAGGCTCTTTAAAAGGAGGTGCCTGGGACTCCAGCAGTTGCAACCTCAATCTACGCTGGTTTTTACCACCAAAAGTGGGAATTCTCTTCCTGGCACTACAAACCTGAGCTGGGGGGCCTGGGACACCTCACACCTCAGGGGGGACCTTCACAGCTGAGATATCCCTCCTGATTTTTATCCACCACACGTGTGTGGGACCAGCCCTTCCACATCTCTGCCCCTCCTACCAGTATTGAGGTGGTTTCTTCTTTAATTTTGTAGTTGTAGGATTTGCATTCAGCTCAGTTTCAGGCGGTTCTGAATGATGATTGTTTTGTAGTTCAGTTGTAATTTTGATGTGGTTGTAGGAGGAGGTGAGTACTGCATTTACCTATGCTGCCATCTTGACTGGAAGTCCAAAACCAGTATTTAAATCTAGGGCTGTCTTATTTCAAGGCTGAACTCCCTTCACACCTCCATATACAGTATCTCAGTGGTATGGCTAAATAGATGTTTTTCAGTGTGGAGATTTCAAAACAAAAGAGGTACACAGTAGCCTCTCCAAACTTGTTGAGGACAGCAAGCTTTCCTAGTGGTTTTAAACCCCTGTCACCTCCCACCTGGGTTAACACAAGCATCTCTTAGCTGATTGACCTGATTCTTCCCTTGGTTTCCTGAAGTTTATTTTCAAGACAGCAGCTTCACTGATTCTGTTAAGTTTGTATTTAAGGATTTTTGTTTTTCATTGAAGTGTAAAACACTCTACTCAAAATCCACTACTGGCTTACTATCCCAGGGTAAAAGCCAAATCCTTACAATTGTTTTTAAGGCCCTATACTACATGGTACATATCACCTCTCAGGCCCCCTATTGTACTATTCTCTCCTATAGCGCCCCCCAACACACACTCTATTGTCACCCCATCAGTCTTGTTGCTATTCCTCAGGCATGATCCTCTCTCTCTCCCTCCCACTCTATCTGAACAAAAAATGGAAAAATGTCCTTGGGTGAGGATTAAAAAAAAAGTTCAAGAAATTAGTAATATATAAATAGTGAGCTTTTAACTGTGCTGGAGAAAAAATGTTAACATGCACTCAGTAGATAAAGCCCTCAGTAGATAAAGTCTGTGGGCTAAGTAATCAGGCTACCATGGAAGAAGCAAAGCAATGCTCCTAGTTGTATGATAAAATCTATAGCTTTTATATGTTATTTGTTAAGAAATAATTCCAGAAGCACTCTGACAATACAAATTTTATTAAAAAAATAAGTAATAACATCAAAACTGTTCACAAAATCTATAATCAATGTAACCAAAATAAACAAACACCAAATTAAAAAATATATACATCTATATATATGCGCAAGAAACAAGTGCGTTTTTTGGTCCCAATATTTTTGAATATATTATCTTTATCCAAAGGAATTACATTAATGGCTAAGAAGATATTATGTAATAGATGTACAGAAATGTAACTTCATAATTTGTTTTAAGGTCTGCAGGAAATTTTTTTTCCAATTCTTTATGTCTTTGAACTCATAACCACTAAAATAATGTTAATAAGATTTCCAAGATGGACAGAGGATGTAATAACGTCTAATGGTCTGAACAATTACCAACTTAAGAAGCTACCAATAGGTAGCTACATAAAATCTGTAAAGAATTCTAAGGCATTCTTGGAATTCTTAACAAAAAACAAACACAGAAATTTTAAAGAAAAGAGATAAAAGTAGACATAACAAAATAGACATCAATAAATTTGCTGAAGAACAACATAAAACCAAGATAAAATTAAGTTAAACTTTAAATAAAAAAAAAAAATTATTAGTACTGCTGAAAACTCTGAGGGTTAATACTGGATAAAACTTTAAATGACAGTACAAATAACTGTAACTTTGGAATTTTAATTTTAGAAAAAATGTTCCCCAAGAGCATGAAAGTAACCTTGGTTCCCTACATAGCCAGTTTTTATATTCATTGGACTGCATGCATGCTAGAAGACTAAAGGGCAGCAGCCAAAATGATTACACTTCAATTTGGGTGATAAAGCATTGATTAGCTGGGCTTTTCTTGGTCAAAAGCAACCATAAACTTAAGATCAAGAACCAAAGCCCACAGTGGGAAGTTGTGTTCAATTTGGTGGGCCTTGAGGTCATCTCTGGCCAAATTAGCATCAGCCAGTCATGAAGGAAGGGACTCTCCCCAAGACCTAATCTCCTAAGGCCACAACCTACAGGAGGTCTCACAGTTAAACAATTCACATTCTTTTGAAAGAGAGAACAGGCATCAGTTGTGTCCAACGAAGGGGGACACTGACCAGGAGTACCCTGGACATTTTTTGAAATTTCTGTGTTGCTTCTGCATCTGAAAAATATGAAAAATAGAACAATGACAGACAAGGAACGAGAAGACAGCTATCTGACCTAAAAATGTAAGATTTATAAGAAATTAACTAAGAAATCAGACAAAAACAGACAAAAAAGGATGAATAGCCATCATTTGGAATGCAATATTCTGAAGGCAAATACAGCAGAGAAAAACACAAATTATTTTAAGCAAAGCAAAGAAAGACCATAGCAAACAAGTTATTTTTGGAGAAAGCCAACTGGAGAAGAAAAGCATGTTAAGATATGTAAACCTGACACAAAGATAAGGTGGAATAAGAATCTAGTGCCATCTGAAAGCTGAAAAGAGCTGAATAATGAGAGCTAGTGTCATGAACTTGGGTGTTTAACCATTTTCGTGTGAGAAAACACTTCAGAACTTTGAACTTAGGAAACTGGCTCTGTGTAAGAAAACATCTCAGAACTTTGAACTTTTAGGAAATTCCAACTTGTCTTGCACCAGGTTGCACGAGCTCCATAGAGCAGGAATCTATTTCAACAAGCAGCTTTAAAAACAAAAACAAAAATAAAATACTTTAATATTTTTCATTTCTATTAATGATACATTAAAAATATGCAACAGTGCTAAAATCCATCAAAGAAAAAAGCACTGAATAAAAATAAACTTACTCAGAAGTGGGTTCAGAAGTTGGGTTACTTTCGGGAACTGAAATCAGAAGAGGTTTACATTTAAAATAGCACATATGATGAGTGAGACTATCAATTTAATAAAATTAAGACCCCATATTGTGGCTCATCAAAAATATAGGAATAAATATCAGAAATTCAAAGTAATGCAATTATATATACATACCATTCTCTATTACAACTTGGCAAGTATGAGTTTTACGTTGACTTAAGTGTTTAGCCATACGATCTAAACCATAAGAATCAGTTAGAAAATCACATTTAAGGCACACTAGAGTAATGCCCCTATAAAAAAAAAAGATAGAAGAAAAGTTTTTATCTTTTATGAAAATCCATATACAGGTTCAAATATTATTTTTCCACGTAATAACTCGATTGCTCTTTATGCATCATGACCACCACTTTTCAATTTTGTTATATGTTTGATATATCCGAGTTTTAGAAAATGACATAGCTGTGTCTAAGTTATACTGACATTTAGTGCTTTATAAAATGTTCCCTCTCATACCAGTTGCTAAAAGATAGGAGTCAAAAGACCTAAAGCCCAGTTGTGACTCCACTAACAACTTATATAACATGTGCAAGGCACAATCTTTCTGTACCTTTGCTCATCTGCAAAGCAAGAATATAATATTGATTCATTCAATATACATTTGCTGAGGGCCTTCTTTATACATTCTGTGGAGCCTACAGTCTAAAATCTTAAGTGACAATAAAAATCAGGAAAAAAAATGAAAAGGCTTTAAAAAGAAATCATTAAGCCTGGTCAGTGTGGCTCAGTGGTTGAGTGTTGACCCATGCACTAAGAGATCGCTGGTTCAAATCCTGGTCAGGGCACATGCCCAAGTCCCCAAGTTGTGGGCCCAGTTCCCAGTGTGGGGCATGCAGGAGGCAGCCAATCGATGTTCTCTCTCATTGATCTTTCTTTTTTTTTTTTATCCTCACCTGAGGACATTTTTCAATTTTTTTGTTCAGATAGAGTGGGAGAGAGAGAGGGGGAGACAGATGGGGGGAGAGAGATAGAGAGAGAAACATCAATGTGGAAGGGACACACTGAGTGGCTGCCACTGCAAACCCAACCAGGGCCGGGGACAAACTACAACTGAGGTGTGCGCTCTTAGTGGGAACTGAACCCGGGTCTCTCTGGACCGCAGGCTGACGCTCTAACTGCTGAGCCAAACTGGCCAGGGCTCATTGATCTTTCTATCTCTCTTCCTCTTCCTTCCTCTTTCTCTAAAAATCAATAAAGAAAAAAAAATAAAAAACGAAATAATTAAAAATAATGTAATTATTGTTATCAAAGCATAAACCTACTTTTATAGTTCATTTTACATTTAAATACTTTAAATTTAAGTATTTCATCTGTATAGAAATAAAAACCAGTAGCGCACCTTAGACTGACTTCTTCTCTGTAGCTCTAGTCATTTTTTTATTAATTTACTTTTGTTACAGATGTTTCTTCCTTTCCCCCATTGACACCCTCCTCCCAATCCCGCCCCCCCCCCCCCACAGCATTGTTGTCTATGTCTATTGCTTATGCATGCATGCATGTAAGTTCTTTGGTTTATCTCTTCCTTTCCCCCGCCCGCCTCCTCTTGCAGCTCCAGTCTTAACAGTTTGTTGTGTATTTATATCTGTCACATTGGCACATCAAAAATGATCTTCCTAAAACTGGTCATGTACTTTCCTCCCCATCCCTGAAAATCACTCCTTTTGAATAGTCTCTTTTATGATGTCATGTCCCCAACACAAAGGCTCAAAATTGTAGTTATCCCTGACTCTCTTTTTCCTTAAAACTGTCAATATTTCAAACATTTTATGATACTAACAATTTACTGAGCACTTACTTTGTCAGGCTGAAGGTTTCCGACATATCATCTCATCTAAATCTTATAGAAACCCAAAGAAGTAAGTACTATAATTATAACTTTTTTATAGAGGACAGGGTCAGGTTTGGTAACTTAATAAGGCCAGGACCAGTTTTGAAACTCAGCCCTTTGATTCCAGAGCCCATGTTCTTAAACATAATGTAATACCACATCACTATCTTAACCCAGGTTCTTATTAAATCAGTCTTAACTACCACAAAAGTCTTGAGCAGTCTATGTGCCTTACACAATGACAAGTCACCTTTTATACCTCTCCAAACTGATCTTTAGTACTCCTGATTCTGCACAAAACACCAATGGTTTCCCCAATGTCCTCAAATTAAAAGAGGGTCCAAATTCCCTAACCATTTTTCAAGGATTCCACAATGTGGATCTAAGCTAAAAACTATTGCCTCAGACTTTGATCTCAATACTATTTATATGAACTTCATGCTCTACCCAAACTGTACCATGACTACTGCTTTCTTCCTTTCTGCATTTTTATTTATGTTATTTCTTCTAACCAGAATGCCCTTGTTCCTTTTTGTATAAGTAGAAACCTCTCCTCTCTTTGAAATCATTAACTCTCATGAAACTCATTACAAATCTCCTTGTATAATGGTAGTTATTTAGTGGATTCTGAGCTTAAATGTTGTGGTATAACCTAAGTTAATTATCAGTACCTTTAGAAATGTTCATCAACAATTTCTTCTGCATAGTAAAGAAGTTGTGCACTTTTCTTTATTTCAAAAAGAAAAAAAATCCTTACGAATTATGAAGCTATTTATTGATCAAAACCAAAAAAGCATGTTACTTTACTAGGTATCTTAAATGTCTTCAATATGATGAACACCACTGAAACAAAGTTTAGCTAGAGAATATATCCCCTCTTTGATCTAAGTATATAATAAATAGAACTCTAATATGTTCAGTAGCAATGATTTCATTTTCCAAACTAGGCCCTACAGCAATAGAAAAATTACTATAATTTTCCAATAGAGAAAACGTAAAAAGATCAACTAGTTAGTTACCTGAGAGTTCCACAATGCTTATGAAAAAGAGGAGACTGCTTACTTGGATGGCTGCTATGAGAGCTGAAAAGATAACAGACAAATGAGATTTTATTACATAATAAATCATATTAATTTTATGACTGTGTTTTAAATAAAAAATCCTGTTATAAATTATAAAATCTTATTAGTCATCTCTGTTTACTTCAAAAATTTTATTTTACATTTCGCTTTGCCTATACATTTTCTAACAACATATATCTCTCAGAATATTCTTTTTTTTTTTTTTTATCCTCACCTGAGGACATTTTTCGATATTTTGTTCAGATAGAGTGGGAGAAAGAGAGAGAGAGAGAGAGAGAGAGAGAGAGAGAGAGAGAGAGATCGACGTGAAAGGGACACATCGAGTGGTTGCCACCCACACGACCCAACCAGGGCCAGGGACAAACTACAACCGAGGTACCCGGGTCTCTCTGGACCACAGGCCGACGCTCTAACCGCTGAGCCAAACCAGCCAGAGCCCTGAGAATATTCTTAAATGATCAGTACCTCAACATTATATATAAAAAAATCTTGGCATTGCCCTGGCTGGTGTGGCTCAGTTGGCTGGCATGTAGTCCTGTACATCAAAAGATTGTGGATTCAATCCCCTGTCAAGGCACATACCCAGGTTGCAGGTCTCGTACAGAAGGCAACCGATCGACGTTTCTTTCTTTCTCTCCCCCTCTCCCTTCCTCTCTAAAATCAACAAAAACACATCCTTGGGTGAGGAGTAAAAAAAAAACCTCAAAGTTAAAAATGCAAAGACCATCATATTAAAATTTCCGACTTTTAAGAGTCAGCCCTGCTGGTGTGGCTCAGTGGATTGAGCATTGTTCCATGGACTGAGAGGTCCCTTTTCAGTTCCCGATCAGGCCATATGCCTTGTAGGAGGCAGCCCATTAATGTTTCTCTCTCACATCGATGTTTCTCTCTCTCTCTGAAAAATCAATAAAAACATAAAAAAGAGTTGAAAACATTATAAAAGGTATTTGCTAATAATGTATTTTGCTATAATATAAATTGTTACACTCTGGCTGGTTTGGATCAGTGGTTAGAGCGTCGGCCTGTGGACCAGAGAGTTTCAGGTTCGGTTCCCACTAAGGGCATGTACCTCGGTTGTAGTTTGTCCCCGGCCCCAGTTAGGGTTGTGTGGGTGGCAGCTGGTCAATGTGTCTCTCTCACATTGATGTTTCTCTCCCTCTCTGTTTCACCCTGAAGATAATGCAAAAATGTTCTCATGTAAGGATTAAAATAAATATATATATATATATATATATAGTTAATTGTTACAAATAATAATGATCCTTTGTAATCTTAATATACTTAGTGAGTAGGAAAATCTGAATGATCCTCAAAGTAAATGCTACCTGGGCTAAATGCCATTACTTACCATCAGTAAAGTGAAACATTTAAATAATCTTTTGCAATTACTAGGAGAGCTTTTAAGGAAAGTAAATTAAAGGAAACAGAGCTCAGGAGTGAAAACAATAATTCCTTTACACAAAGAACAGAAAATCACTAACCAAAATTTTCAGTCAATGGTAATAGCTTTTATATCCCCTTTTAAACTGATAAAAAAAGCTTTCCTGTATTAGAAAGCCAGACAGGATTAGCCAGAACTGGCATAGCACAGTATTATCCAAAGTGTGGTCCATGGACCAGCAGTGTCTGCATCACCTAGGAGCCTATTAGAAATACAAAGTTTCAGGTTCCACTCTAGACCTACTGAATTAATCTCTGCTGGTAGGAACCAAAAATCAGTTTCAATAAGTTTTAGAAGAAATTGTTATGCAAAATAAATTTTGAGAAGCATTAGCCCTAGTTTGCACTGACAGACCCAAGCCAGCCAACACAGTGGGTCATGTTACCCTTACACACAAGGTAACAATCACCAGCATATCATGTATATATAAGTAAAGAAAGATTGGTTAGTTATAATCCCAAGAAAATATCCCCAAAGTAGGTGCCATGGTGAATACAAAGAACTGCTTTCTCAAGTAGATAAAACAGACACATATTTAATGAGGTAGAACGACTGAGTGGTACCAAACCCAAAGAAAGCAATGATTCCTGAGTGGATGTGGCAATCAGATACTTCACAGAAAAAGGTAAACTGAGAGGAAAGAAGAGGGACATTTCGGGAGTAACAAAAAATAAAGAAAAGCCATTTTGGTTAGAGTTAGTATGGGCTGGGAGTAAAGGTATTCAACCTCTGAGAAAATAAAGCCTCTGTATGTACAGAATTCAAATGTATGGCATAATCCACACTGGGTTTGAGTGAGAGTGTACCAGTCAGGGGAGAGTGCCTGAGGCAACATGGAAAACAAAGTACCATAGAAGTAGGGGAAATGGAAAGAGTCCTACAAGGCCCTTGGAAGAGTAGAAGAACTTAGTTCTGTATGGGGTTAATGATGAGTAAGCACTCAGTGTGTGATGACAATGCAGTGTAGGGTTGGGGTTCGCTGGAAATTAGGAAAAGGTTATGAAGGAAGCCTGTGGCCAATTGGGAATATTTTGGGATAGGATAGCGCTGGGGATCCTCGTAGACAGTTGAGGAGTCTATGGAAATGGAAAAGAAGAGGCCAAAATGACCCATAGTTTTAAGAAACACCAGAAATATTTTTCAATTTAATCTTCTACAAATTAGGGACAGAATTAAAACCCTGTTGGGACAGCCATGTGCTTGGTACAGAATGAGAGACCAGCATTTTCCTAGCAGTATACTGAGAGAAAGTTTGGCTGGGGCCTGGTTTAGAGCAACTGAGGTATGGGTGCAGAACCACTGTAATAGCTGGGAGGCAGAGTGATAAATTGCAGAAGGTGGACTGTTAGGAAGACATGATGAATAGTGGCAGATCAAAAGAACTTGACAGGCTTCTGAAACTTAAAGTGAAGTCACAGAGGAATAAGAACAAAAACTAGTAGCTTTAGTAATTAGGACATGACTGGTAACTGTTAAATGTTAAAGCAGCAGCTTTAACTGGTAAGAAGGGGTGATACTCAGATTACAAAGGGCAAAGAAATGACAAATAAGATAGTAAAGGATACTCTTTACAAATGCTGTCAATAAAAGGACTAAAATATGCAAAGTAAAGGTAAATCTCCTTCATCTTAAAAACAAAACAAAACAAAACAAACAAACAAACAAACAACACCCGAAAATATTTGCAGGCAGAAGGAATGGTAGGGAGAAAGAGATGAAATGAAGATGTAAAACAGCTGAATAAGGCTACAAAGGAAATGGGGGAGATAAGAGACAGGGTAAACTTTGAAAAAGTAGGACATATCTTTTTCTGAAATTAATGTCTGAAGGGAAAAACTTGAGGTAGAAAAGTTAATCTTGGGAAAAATGAAAAGGATGACCTCTGAGCAGTTAGAAAAGGATAACAACTGAGAAATTAGAATAAAATCTTGAGAGCATTTAAAAGGATTTAAACAGATCTTATAGATAAAAATAAAGAAATATTTTTTAAAAGAGAGGACCAAATTAAAGTGGATCATGAATTAAGAGCTGATTGAATCAAGCACAGCTTCCTAGTCTATAACTGAGAGCTTTAAAAGGATAAAATATTCAAGGATTGCAAGGTTAAGCATGATTAAAGATGGAAAGGATTACAGGACATAAACAAAGTGACATTCAAAAAGATGACCTTGAGTGTGAGGTTGACTACGAAGTTGGATTGGTGCTGCTGGACTAAAAAGAGGTGTCCAAAGTCTGAAAGTCATGGAGTAATGAGAATTCAAAGTGAATAATTTATATGATGAGGTAAAATGGGTCGGTGGTAAAATGAGGGTACAACATGTCAGAGGTGGATATAAAGTGCTGGCTTTAAAGAAGTCAAGGTACCAGGTCAGGCTGATCATCAAGGGGGGAAAAACATCTTGCAAGCCAAGTGCTAAAGCTATTAAAAAATGTGGGCAAATCCCAGAAAGTGGAAGCTAACTATGACCAAAAAGGAAGTTAAAAGTAATATAGAGGTCTTGTTATGATTTAAGAGAAAAACACTTTTATTGGTTATATCTTATTTCTGACTAAAAATAAATGGAACTACCTTAATTTGAATAATCAACTTAACATAATTAATCCCCCAAATTTTTGTGTATTAAAAATAATCCATCCTGAAGGAAGTGCATACAAATGAAAGTAATATGGGCTCTGAAGTCTTTTTCTAGGATAAAGTATATGGTAGGTTCTCAAACAATATAAATTGAATTGGTGTATGAAAAGAAATTCCAACAGTAGCATCATGACTGGAATATCCCTATAGTTTCTCATTTCACATTTCATTGAATGGATGCAAAGAAAGATAGCTTAAAAGATGAATGGACAGAGGGATGGATCAGAGAGACAAAGGGGTAGAGAGGAGGGAGAAACAGAGAGAGCACACAATAACGTGAGCACCAATAATCGTCTTAGCATCTTTGACAAATCTGGTGTCTCTCAAAGTGACTACTCATGTGGTTACATGTATTTATTTAATAAATATTTTAAAAACATTTAACATTTTATGTTTGGAAATGACCACTTTTTGAAAGACTTAAAAAAACAAATTTCCCTAACAAATTTATTTTAAGGTCATTAGTTTAACTTCTTGAAATTTTTGTGCCACTAATTTCATGAATTATTAAGCTAGAAAATAGTACTGGGTAATAGCCTAGGAGCTCCCTATTGCTAGATCCTTTTAGCTCCTTGATGTGACAAACTGGCTTTTAATAGGACAAATTTGTTTGGAAAAAAACAAGCAAACATCTTCAAAGGCAGTTTTGATTGTCAGTGTACATATGTAACTTACCTCACCATATGATTTATAAAGGCTTTGTTACAGTTAGTGTTGTATTTGCAAAAATTACAGTGGATATATATTGAAAAGTGGCTTGCAAAATCTTTTATTTTGGAATGACACTCAATGCACTTGTGAACTCCTCGATAACACCTTATGAAGACAGAAAAAATGATAAAATTTATATTGTAAAACAAAAATAATAAGATAAAGCATTATCAACATTTTATTAATTGAAGCTAAGATATTTAAGTTAGCACCTTTAAATAGAGACCTATAATTCGAAAATTTTCTTTGAAACAAGTTAGAATAAGTACAAAAAATCTAATAGCAGTCAACCTTTCCCTGGAGTCAAAAAGATCATATTAACCAATTCAACTTTCACAAGATATAAACACAAAATATAAGATTAGTATAAAAGATGAAAATTGTACAATAAACATGGTAATTCAAGTTTTGCCCAACAGTTGTAAAAAATACCTTTTTACTACTTGACCTTTATGCCAGATAAGTAATCATCATGTAAATGTGCAAGGGAGTTTGTTATATGGTAAATTATATTAAAATAAACCTTTAATATTTAATATTAAATTGACATTGCAAATCAGGAATAAAAGATATTACCTTAAGTTCTTCAAAGCTATACTTATTTTGTTCTTTCTGTTGCGTTGTTTCTTTTGCTTATAAGAGGCTTTTGTTTTGCATTTAGATGTACCTCTACTCTGCTTACTTGCACTGGATAGTTTACTTGCAGTGGATATAGTTGAACGAGCCTTACGCATCTTAGATTTATTTGCATTTGATTTTGTGGAATTTTTAGCAGTTGTATTTTTAGACTTTGGAGGTGAGACCTGAAGAGAAGAAGTGCTAGGAGTATCACTGGAAGATGTAGTTGATGGCTTTGAATGAAGAGATCCAAATGAAGCTCGAATAGTAACCTATAAATATAAAGGCAATATACATTTTAATAAAATTAATCATTACAATAATATTATAAAGGTCACTGCAAGCACTCACAGTATGGTCAATTGGTTTTTGACAAAGGGTGCCAAAGGAATTCAGTGAGGGAAACAACAAATGGTGCTGGGACATATGGCTATCTACATGCAAATAAATCTGGATCTCTACTAGATATAAAAATTAACTCAAAATGTATCAAAAGACCAAATTGTAAGAGCTAAAACTATAAAACTCTTAGGAGAAAACATAATAAATCTTCATGACTGTGGGTTAGACAATAAGTTCTTAAACATAACACCAAAGGCACAAGGAACCAAAGAAAAATTAGATAGATTGGACTTCATAAAAATTTCAAACTTTTGTGCTTCAAAGGACACCATTAAGAAAGTGAAAAGACTGAGAGAAAATATTAGCAAAACATATATCTAATAAGGGACTTATATACAGAATATATAAACAACTCTTACAACTCAATATAAAGACAAATAACCTGGAGTGGTGAACACACAATAGTGTACAGATGATATGTTGTGGAACTGTGCAACTGAAAACTGTATAATTTTGTTAACCAGTCACTCTAATAAATTCAATAAAAAGGAAAAAAAAAAGACAAATAATACAATTTTAAAATGGGCAAGTAGCCTGGCCAGTGTGGCTCAGTGGTTGAGCATTGACCCATGCACCAAGAGGTTGCCAGTTCGATTCCCAATCAGGGCACATGCCCAGGTTGTGGACCAAATCCCCAGTGGGGAGCATGCAGGAGGCAGCCAATCAATATTCTCTCTCATCGATGTATGTCTCTCTTTCCTTCTCCCTTCCTTTCTCTCTAAAATCAATAAAATAAATAAATAAAAATGGGCAAGTATATTGTAATAACTATGTATGATGTCAGGTGGGTACTGGAAATATCAGGGGGAAGACTTTTTTTTTTATCCTCACCCGAGGACATTTTTGTATTTATCTTCAGACAGAGCAGGAGGGAGAGAGGGAGGAAGAGAGAGAAAAAAAACATTGATGTGAGAGAGACACATTGAGTGGTTGCCATCCACACGACCCCAAATGGGGCCCGGGACAAACTGCAACCGAGGTACGTGCCCTTAGTGGGAACCGAATCTGGGACTCTCTGGTCTGCGAGCTGACACTCTAACCACTGAACCAAACCAGCTAGGGCAGGGGGGACACTTTGTAAAGTATATAATTGTCTAACCATTTTGCTGTACACTTGAAATTAATACAAATAATATTGAATGTAAACTATAATTGAAAAAATTTTAGAAAAACGGCAAGTGATCTGAATAGGCATTTCTTTAAAGAAGATATAAATGGCCAATTAGCACATTAAATATGCTCAACATCACTAGTCATCAAGGAAATGTAAATCAAAACTCCAATGAGATATCACATCAGATCAAATAAAATTGCTATAATAAAAAAGGCAGATAATAAGTGTTGCTAAGTATATGGAGAAATTGCAACTCTCATATATTGCTAGTGAGAATGTACAATGCTGCAGTAGCTTTGGAAAACAGTGTGGCAATTCCTCAAAATGTTAAACTTAAGAGTTATCATATAACCCAGCAATTCTTCTCCTAGCAATTCCATCCCAAAGAAAGAAAACACTATATTTACATAAGAACTTGTATGTGAATTTTCATAGAAGCATTATTCATATAGCCAAATCCTGGAAACAACCCAAATGCTCATCAGTTGATTAATGGATACATAAAAATATGGTATATCCCTACAATAGAATAATATTCAGCCATAAAAAAAATGAAGTACTGGTACATAAGTACTGGTACATAAGTACTAATATAGCCATAAGAAGGAATTAAATATTGATACAAGCTACAATATGGATGAATCTCAGAAACATTATGCTAAGTGAAATAAATCAGTCATAAAAATCACTTATTGTATCATTCCATTTATATGAAATGTCCACAACAGGAAAATCCACAGGGACAGAAAGATTAAAATTTGCCTGGAGTTGGTGGAGGGGAAATAGGAAGTGGCTGTCGATGGGTATGGGGTTTCTTTTGGGAGTTATGAAAATGTTCTAAAATGGATTGTAGTGATGTTTGTACAACTCTTTGAATGAGCTAAATAATACTGAATTGTATACTTTAAATAGGTTAATAGGTTAATATGAATTATATCTCAATAAAGCTGTTTCAAAAACACTGCAATACAAAAAATTAAAAATTATTACTTTGAAAATGGCAAGAGTAAAATACAGTTAAACCTCCCATTTATTCTAAATGGTCATACCAATTAAATGAAATTTACCTCAGTATTTACTTATTGTTATAATATTACAGTTTTATATGGATAATATTTATATTTTAACATGGATATTAATGGATAATTAGGAGTTAGTGCTCATTATATGAATATCAAAAGATCATATTCCATGGCTATTTTATGCTCTATTTAACTAAATAGCCTTCACAAATTTAGAGGTCAAAATCTAATCTCAAAAGCCTGAAATAATAACTCCGGAAAGGCCTATATTACTTTTTATAACTATAAAACAGATCTCCAGTAAATGTGACCTGCTGTCTCTGAGAGCTCACTGGGCAAAATTTATGGTTCCAAAGGTTACTCTGGTCAGCCTCAGAGGGCACAGGCTGCCCTCACCCAGGGCCCAGCGCAGCAGCTGGAGGTTACATCAATTCATCATACATCATGGAGTGTTTCATAATATTCAGAATTCCTTTAAGGGACCTAATATAAAAATTATCATTTAGTATTAGAGAAGAAAATGTCCGATTATACCCACTGGTTAATACTGAAAAACCCAGTTGCCTATTTACATTCTTTAAACATCTGACTATACTACTCCCATGTATTTTAGGAGCAGCCAGTGAAGAAGTCATATGTAATACATGTGGTTTGGTATCAGATAAAGAACACTGAACTAGGAGTCAAAAGACCCAAGGTTAATCTTAGAACTACCTCTTCCTAGCTATGTGACCTTGAGTAAGTAACTTATGTCTCTAAGCCTCCTCATTATAATACTGTATGGGAATAATGCCTGCTTTGTCTACTTCATTAAACTGCTACACAGATTAAATAACAGAATGTATGAAAAAGCACACTGAAAGCTTAATTCTAAAGTACTATAAAACATTTAGTACCAATCATTATGATTACTATTATAATGCAATATACTAATTATTACTACTAATAAGGGAAGATATAAGACATTAGTATTCTGCATGTCTAATCTTAGCATGGAATGGATTGCAGAAAATACTAGATAGCTTCTCTCACTCTATAACTTTAGAGCATTGCTTTACATTATTTTAGTTAATTCAAATAGTAGACATATTTGCATTCAAAGGTAAGTACTCAAAGCCAAATACAAATATTTGGGAATTTTTCACTTTGGATTATGTATCCTTCCACTGGAACATAGCCAAGAGCTGTCTTTACATAAAGAAATCAGAGAAAACGTACATAAGGCAAAAAGGGAAAAGGAAATTTGCAGTCAGATGTGTTTGTGCTCTTAAAATAGCAATGGTATTCAGAAGCAGAACTTGCTTCTCTGAGAATAGACTCAGTAATACCAACTTCAACAAACTATGGCATTCAAGGCACTATGACAAATGCCAGAGACACAAAGATAAATTAAACATGATTCCTGATCTTGTAGTCCAGCAGCTGAAGCAGACATATGCTGCCACGTGGAAGAGCTCAGAAACAGCCTATAGAATATTGAAACAACCCATTGATTCAAACTATAGTTAATCTACTTGCACTCATTACAAAGGAATATATTCCAATATAGCACATGCCAATCAACTCAGAAAATAATGGAAAACGTTTTTTTTTTTCCCCAAATGGAAGATAAAACCTAAAATTAAAATCTTAATGACAATCAGAAGTCAATTTTAAATATTATATTCAGTAGTAAAACCAGGCAGGAGTTTATATCTATTATCACACAAAATGTTAAAATATAACATATTTAAAACTCACTTTTGAACCAGGAGGCAAACCTTCTAGCTCTTTAGGCTTTATAAATGTCCGATGTTGGGTCTTGTGATCCAGTTTCTCTTTGCAGGTCAAAAATTGTAGTCTGCATTTTGTACAACGATGAATTCCTTTTTTCTGGTTATAAATAATATTAGAAATAGTAATTTCTACTACCACAAATTCTGGTACCTGAAATTATTCTTAATTCTATTAGCTAAATAATTTAAAAATCAGTATTTTACCATATTCCATCATAAATTACACCAAAATGTCATTTCATTTTTAATTTAATTTAATTAACTTTTTAAATTCCCTCACCCGAGGATATTTTTCCATTTATCTTCAGATAGAATGGGAAGGGAGAAGAGAGAAAGAGAGACTGATGTGAGAGAGACACATTGATTGGTTGCCTCCCACCTGACCCTGACCAGGGCTGGGGACCAAACCAAAACTGAGGTACATGCCCTTGGCTGGAATCGAACCTGTGACTCTTTTGTCCACAGCCATGCTCTAAATGCTGAGCCAAACTGGCCAGGGCTCATTTTATTTTTTAAAAACACTTCTTTCATTAGTATTTAGGTTTCAAAAGTATTTGTGACATATATGAATTTGTCAATGTAGACAGTATTCTTATACACCAATGATGAACTCACAGAAAGACTAAAGAAAAATCCCATTTACCATCACGGCAAAAAAATTAAGATACCTAGAAATAAACTTAACCAAAGAAGTAAAGGATCTCTTCACAGAAAACTATAGGTCATTGAAAAAAGAAATAGAGGAAGATATACAATAGTGGAAGCATATACCTTGTTCATGGATTGGAAGAATTAATATAATTAAAATGTTCATACTACCCAAAGCAATCTATAGATTCAAGGCAATCCCCATCAAAATACCAATGACATAGTTCACAGAACTAGATCAAATGCTTCAAAAGTTTATATAGAACCAAAAAAGACCCCAAATAGTCACAGCAATCTTGAAAAAGAAGAACAAAGTAGGAGGGATCACAATACCTAATATCAGGTTATACTACAAAGCGTCTGTGATCAAAACAGCCTGGTACTGGCACAAGAACAGGCATATAGACCAGTGGAACAGAATAGAGAACCCAGAAATGGACCCAAGGCAATATGCTCAATTAATATTTGACAGAGGTGGCAAGAGAATACAGTGGAGTCAAGACAGCCTCTTCAATAGATGGTGTTGGAACCCCCAGCAGCAGAGGCTTGGGAGCGGACATCCATCCCCAGGCAGCAGCAGCACAGATTGGTAGCAAAGACCCATCCCCAACAGCATCAGCAGATGCTGATCAGGAGCGGCGCCCAGCCCAAGCAGCAGCAAGACCTGGGCAACCGAGATCTGCCCCTGGTCAAGTGCAGCAGCAGATTTGGAGTGGAGCCTCTACCCAGGCAGCAGCAAAGTCCCAGGAGCAGAGCATCCTCAGCCCTCAACAGCAGCAGAGGACTGGGAGCTGACAATTGCCGCCAGCAGCTACTAATCAGGAGCCAGCTTACCTCAGCAGGACATCAGTAGGACCCACGCACCCCAGCAACACACCAACTGAACCCACACACTTCGACAGCATACCAACAGGACTCACGCTCCCCAACAGGGTATCAGTGGTACCTATGTATCCCAGGAGTGCACCAGGAGGACCCACATACTCCGGCAGGGCACCAGTGGGACACATGCACCCCAAGCAGCAGCAGCACAGATCAGCAGCTGAGACCAATCCCTAGTGGCATCAGCAGAGGCTGATCAGGAGTGGTGCCCCAGCCCAAGCAGCAGCAAGACATGGGCAGCTGAGACCTGCATGACAGACCAATACCTGCTGCAGCTGTCAATCCTACAGGCTCACAGCAGGCAAGAGGAGCCATACACCAAAACAGTCTGGGAGGCACAGCAGCCTTATTTGATACACACCAATCTGCTACACATTCCAACATCCCTTACTGGCATAGAACTACCAGACAGCTAAAATGGTGAGACAAAAAAACAACACCCAAATGAAAGAAAAGGAAGAATCACTAGAAAAGGAACTACGGAAATGGAAGAAAACAATTTGTCAGATAAAGATTTCAAAGCAACAATTTTAAGGATGTTCAAACAATTTAGTGAGAACTACAAGCAACTTAATAAGAATTATGAAGAACTCAGTGGGAACTACATCAGCTTAAAAAAAGAGGCAGAAGCTATGAATAAAAATCAATAGGAAAGAAAGAATGACATAGCTGTTATGAAAAATAACTTAGAAGGATTCGAGAGTAGATTAGAAGAAGCTGAAGACCAAATCAGCGACTTAAAAGACCAGGCAGATGAAAACACCCAAATAGAGCAGCAAATGGGGAAAAATTTAAAAAGCAGCATGAGAGTTTAAGGAGGCTTTGGGACAATACAAAATGTAACAACACTCGCACCATAGGGGAACCAGAAGGAGAAGAATCAGAGAAAGGAATAGAGAACCTGTTTGAAGAAATAATAACAGAAAACTTCCCTAAATTGGTGAAGGAAATAGTCACACAAGTCCAGGAAACACAGAGTCCCAAGCAAGATGAACCCCAAAAGACCCACAGTTAGACACATCATAAATAAAATGGGAAACATTAAAGACAAAGAATCTTAAAGGAAGCAAAAGAGACAGAAAATTACCTACAAGGGAGCTCTCATCAGACTGTCAGCTGATTGCTCAATAGAAACACTGAAGGCCAGAAGAAAATGGCATGAAGTATACAAAATAATGAAAGGCAAGGGTCTGAATCCAAGACTACTCTATCCAGCAATGCTATCATTCAAAATTGAAGGAGAAATAAAGAGCTTCACAGACAAAAAATTAAAAAAAAAGCTAAAGGAATTTACCACCCCCAAACCAACACTGCAAGAAGTGCTCAAGGGACTGTTGTAAGAAGAAGAAACAGAGACAGAGTGGGAGAGGAAAACATAGGCATAAAATAAAAATGGCAACTAATAAGTATCAATCAATAATAACCTTAAATGCAAATGGCTTAAATGCTCAATCAGAAGACATAGGGTAGCTGACTGGATAAGAAAACACGACCCGCATATATGCTGTCTACAAGAGACCCACCTCACAACTAAAGACTCACACAGGATGAAAGTGAAGGGATGGAAAATTTTCCAAGCATATTGAAATGAAAGAAAGCTGGTGTAGCAACACTCATATCTGATAAGATAGACTTCAAAATGAGGGCCATAATAAGAGACAGAGAAGGTCACTACATAATATTAAAGGGATCAATCCAATAAGAGGATATAACCCTGGTAAAAATATGTGCACCAAATACAGGAACACCAAAATATATTTAAAAATTTCTGGAGGACTTCAAGGAAGAGATCAATAGCAATACAATCATAGTGGGTGACTTTAACATCCAACTGACACCACTGGATAGATCTTACAGACAAAAAATTAACAAGGACATAGAGTCCTTACAAGACGAACTAGATCAGTTGGACTGCACTGACATTTATGGAACATTTAACCCCACAGCAGCAGAATATACATTCTTTTCAAGTGCACACAGGACATTCTCAAAGATAGACCACAGGTTAGGACACAAAGTAAGTCTCTACAAATTCAAGGATATTGAAATCATATCAATCATCTTCTCAGATTACAATGGCATGAAACTAGAAGTCAAATACAACAAAAACACACAGACACATTGAAATACTTGGAGGCTAAATAGTATATTATTAAGCAACGAATGGGTTACCAAAGAGATCAAGGGAGAAATAAAAAACTGCCTGGAAACCAATGAAAATAAACACACAACAATACAAAATCTATGGGATGCAGCAAAAACAGTCCTGAGAGGGAAGTTCATAGCACTATAGGCCTACCTCAAGAAACAAGAAAAATTCCAAATTGACTTTCTAACCCTACTACTCAAAGAACTAGAAAGTATACAAAAAGAAAAACCCAGAGCAAGTAGAAGGAAACAAATAGTAAAGGTCAGAAAAGAAATAAACGACATAGAAACAAACAAACAAACAAAAACAATTCAAAAGATCAATGAAACAAAGAGCTGATTCTTTGAAAAGGTAAACAAGATTGATCAATTCTTAGCCAGACTCACCAAGAAACAAAAAGAGAAGATCCAAATAAACATAATCAGGAACAAAAGAGAAGTAACAACTGACAACAGAAATACAAAGGATCACTAAAACATACTACGAACAATTATATGGCAACAAATTGGACAAATTTCTAGAAACACACAGTCTCCCAAAACTGAACCATAAAGAGATAGAAAACTTGAATAGTACAATAACAACTAAGGAAACTGAAGATGTAATCAAGAAACTCCCAGCAAACAAAAGCCCAGGCCCGGATGGCTTCATGGGGGAGTTTTACCAAACATTCAAAGAAGATCTAATACCCATTCTCCTCAAACTATTCCAAAATATCCAAGAAGACGGAAAACTTCCAAACTCATTTTATGAGTCCACCATAACCCCAATTCCAAAATTGGATAAAGACACAACGAAAGAAAACTACAAACTACAAACCAATATCCCTGATGAACACAGATGCCAAAATCCTGAACAAAATATCAGCAAATCACATCCAGCGATACATCAAAAATTTATTCATCATGACCTAGTAGGATTCATCCCAGGGATGCAAGGATGGTACAATATTCACAAATCAATAAATGTGATGCACCACATAAACAAAATAAAAGATAAAAACCATATGATCATATCAACAGATGCCAAAAAAGCATTCAACAAAATCCAGCACCCATTTCTGATAAAAACACTCAGCAATGTGGGTATAGAGGGATTATATCTGGACACAATCAAGGCCATATATGAAAAACCTACAGCCAACATCATACTCAATGGGTAAAAACTAAAAGCATTTCCCTTAAGAACAGGAACAAGACAGGGATGCCCACTTTTGCCACTCTTATTTAACATAGTACTGGAAGTCTTAGCCACAGCAATTAGACATGAAGAAAAAGTAAAAGGGATCCAAATTGGGAAGGAGGAAGTGAAACTGTCGTATTTGCAGATGACATGATACTGTACATAGAACACCCTAAAGACTCAATCAAAAATCTACGAGATTTAATAAATGGATTTGGCAAAGTAGAAGGATACAA